TTAGGTCTGCTAATAAGGGGATGCAACTGGTACCCATGGGAATTCCAACAGATTGTTGGAAGACCATAACTCCAAAAATACATAGATACTGTCAATCAAGAAACTCAAGCATCTTTTTAATATCAACTTCAGAGTACTTGTGTGTACAATCAGAGTGCTTTTTAACAAAATAATTTTGTAAATGACCAATGACAAGGTAAGTACGTTTACGGGTTCCATTTTTATTGAAAAAGCAGCTGTCTATGATGTCAAAAAGCCTGAACTTCAATTTATCGTGGGGAATGATTGTGTATAGTGTTGAAAAGTCGTACGTTTTGATGCTATTGATGTTAGTAAAATTTTGTGATTTCAAATTTTCCGAAAGTTCTTTGGAGTTTTTAAGTATCCACATCTGATTTACACCACTTCTCGAATATACTGTTGAACAGTACTCCTGAAGTTTCCCATTCATTACAGTAAATATTTTAGTGAGGAGTAAAGAAAGAGGCTTGGTAGAACATTTACTGGAACCCGCTAGGTATCTTTGTTTGTAAGCATTTTTTTAGAAGTGTAGGAATCCAGTAAAGGTGTGGTAATTCAAATTCACTTTGATTGTTGGGAATATTAAATTATGTAAAACGGACATATGATTTTGAAGAATTCCCTTCTTAGAAATGGAGGAATGGGTGTGAGTTGGATTTCCACAAGTAGAATTAAATCTTATTCCTCTAAAATACAATTCAATTAATGAGCCTTAGAAACAAAGACTATCTTGTTACTAGCTTTGTCAGCTGGGACTAGTACATACTGATCGTGTAATCTATTTAATTCCCTTTTCACTTCTGAATCATTAAAGACAGAAGGATAAATATTTTTCATACAACCCCTTAATCGCTTAATGCGAGATTTCAACATCCATCTGATGCTCTTAATCAATTCTGACAAAGTATCAAAGTCTTCTTTTTCGTGTTTGGTAATTCCACCTTAACTTCACTGAAACAACAGAACAAGTCCTGATGTCATTTTCACTTCGCAATTATACTTTTAAGACTCTCATGCTTGGTCGGGACTGCAACAAATATGTTAGAATTATTGCTGATCAAATATGAATAAATATAAAGAAAACATTGATGAGAAGAATGTGTCTGGTTGACCTCGTTTACATTGTTTGTTCTGTAAAAGAAAATATACTACAGAATATATTTAATGTTCTAATTATATTTCAGCTAGTTTTTTTAAATAAGTAGGGAATAAATTAAGACAAAAAGCTAAGTTTGAATACTTTCATGTTTTAATTATGAAGTATTGGACTATGAATTTTGCACAATTTCGTTACCACTTGATGTTGCCAACATGATTTTTGTGTTATATTGTTTTAATTATTAATTTTACTGTAGTCAGAAGTGCAACAAAACTGTTCTGTAATTATCAATGATCTTCATCTATCTTTACTAAAAAAAGTAAATTGAAAAAAAAAATGTCTGATATTATTTGATGTTCAAAGCATTGTGTCTGTCAACTAATTACAGACATTTTACAGTCAATTCAGAGAATAATTTTCATCACTTAACACATTTTTTAATAAAATGTATATATATTACACATTGCAAATGATCATGTTTTGAAGTCTTGAAAATATGAAAAACCTTCCGTAAATGATAAAAAATATCAAAACAACGAACTGATTTACAAACTAAGAATTGGTTATTGTGTGTTATAATTTTTAAAACAATGTTGAATAAAATTATACATATCAGATGTCAGGAGTGCAACACAATAATGTAAAATAGGGTCACTTCAAAATCTAATACATGTATTTTTTGTAAGTAAACTTGTATATCAAATATTTTTGGCTTAGATTTAAAGAATTGACTTATATGGACAAAACGTGATTTTCTGGGAATTTTATTGTTACACACATTTTTTTCAAATTAAACTTTTTCAAACCAGAATTTAAAAAAAAAATAATGCAAAATAACAATATAAAAGCCATTTTTTCCACAATCAAGGTTTAGATTAATTATTTATTTCCCTGATACCATTTTTAAGATTTAAAAAACTTTAATTTCTTTTGATTATGTATTTTAGAAAGTCTTTTAGGAAACAGTGATATTTTCTTTCTTCAAATAAACTTTCACTAGTAAAAATTCTGAAATTTTTTATCCAGTTGTCTCTTCTATTGCAAGTCAGGAATTTTAACTAGAATCCATGCACATTATGATGATCTAAGTGGAAAAATATGTAATGGGTAGATGAATTTTTTTTTTAAATTCAATTTGGTGTTCAATATTTTTTAACTCATCTATATAAAAAAAATCATTGCTGGTTTTTTTTTTTTTTAGTCAACACGATGATTCAAACACCTTTGAAGTACAATATTCACCTCGCCCGGAGGTGAATATTGTACTCCTCAGGTGGCTAAATCATCATATTAAATATAGAAACTTCAGTAATTGCAAAGTATAGAATTTGTGATGAATTTTATATCTTACAGTTACTATTAAAAATTAACCTTGAGTAAGGGTGTTAAGAGGAGAAGTGAAAACCACCTGAGTAGCCTGGTACTCGATCGAAAAAGTGAGAAACCGGTTACTTAAAATCGTCCGATTTGATAACATCATTTTTAACACTTTATACGACCATTTTACACGATAAACTATGGACCATAATAATCGACATCATAGTCAAAAGCTTCGTTAATAAAATGAAAACGGAAGTAGATATTAAGAGGATGCTGGAATTCCTCATTGTGGAATCTATGTAGTCTTTGTTGTATATGATGACCGATACTAACCTCTACGTATTCTGACTGTTGTTGAAATTCGTACTTTAGTAATGTACATTGACATGTACATTTTCCACTGACATTGCACACTTTTCATAATTGTCAGTACAGATACCATATGGTAAACAGGCAAATGTCAAAAACTGAACGCATAAAATATGAATAAAGTTGTACACCTGCGTTGGGAAGAGTTTAAATAGCAAAAAGAACTGCAAAATATACAAAGTTCTAAACCATGGCGCCCTACAATTTAAAATCAATCTATTTAAAGAAGTAAAAAAATCATCAATTAAAGTTGCCTCCACAAACATTTTGCATCTCTATATCAGTAAAGAGTGACCCTTCCAGTAAGGACAATATGGAAAATACACTCCTCTATTGTTTTATTAAAAAGTACATGTATACGAAGGCCATAAACCTGGTTTCCATGATGAGTAGGAGCAGAGATACACACTGGTAAGAGACTTACTGAAATATCATCTAATTAAAAGATAATGGCTTTTGATGTTCATAAAATCATGTTTTACTTTGAACTGCATAATATGTAGTAACTTTAAAAATAAATATAACTATTTGTTTTAATTGATATGTAATGTTCATTTCAACTTTCACATTTCAAATTCATTAGTATTTTAAAATTTTAAGTATATATATATATATATATATATATATATATATATATATATATATATATATATATATATATATATATATATATATATATATAAGTAGACGAGAAAAAGTGGTAGAGGGGTTAGAAATGATTAAAATGCTGATTAAGATGGCAATATGCCAAAGAATGTTATCCAGTATAATTACAGTTCTGTATTGATATTGATATGGCGTTGCACAAAAATAATTGAAGCAACTTTAGTTGGTGATTTTGGGGGTTTTTTTAATCTAAACAGAACAGTTCTTTACATGTAAAATTCAATGGTCTTCGCCTACCAGGAATTTTAATAAAAGAATATGTGTTTTATGCGTCCACTTTGTCACATTGCCTTTTTGCTATTTTGTACATATACAGACAAAATGTTAGAGCAATGTATAGCAATGTATATCAATGTATATTATGAAAGTACTAATTCCAATTAACAGTTAGAATACGTGCAGGCTAATATCGGCCAACGTAGTCCAAAGACTGCATAGAGAACAAAACGGCACTCAAGCATCTTCATATACTATAAATATAACAAAACGGAACTCCAGCGTCTTCATAAACTACATATACAAGAAAACGAAACTCTAGCATCTTCATAGACTACATATAAAATAAAACTGGACTCTAGCATCTTCATAGGCAAATTACTTAACAAAGCGGAACTCTAGCATCTTCAAAGACTGCATATATAACAAAACGGAACTCAAGCATCTTCATAGACTACATAATATATATTAACAAAACGGCACTCTAGCATCTTCATATTACTTGTATATGGCATCGACATTATTTTTAACTTCAATTTTTTTCAAAGAAGCAGTTGCCTATGACGTCAAAAAGCTTGGTCTTTAATTTATATCGAGAAATTGTTTAAAAAGTAAACGGTTTAATGTTGATCTTAAGGAAAAATTGCTTTCATTTTTTAAAGTTTATCCCGAAAAAAAATTAAGAACAGTCTTAAAGATACGCCACTAATATGTTGCGACTGAATATGGACTGCAGGCATTCTAAACACACCTTTAGTAAAAACAAAAAATACAAGAGGCCCATGGGCCACATCGCTCACCTGAGCACATTGGCTAGGCAAAGGCATAAATCAGTTCAGTAGTGAAAAGATTACCGGGGGGGGGGGGGGGGCTTGGATTTTAAACTACCTGATGATGCCTCCATGTCAAAATAACAAATGGCTTTGTTGTACTTGAGAGGATTTAAAAAAAAATTCCCATACAGACGGACTACAGACCAAATGTGATCAGAAAAGCTCACTTGAGCCTTCGGCTCAGGTGAGCTAATAATTTCTTTTAGATAAACTTAAGATTCCATTAAGTCCTCAAATCAGATGTTTGGTAATTACATTATAATGCAATGTCATGATATTGTTGTATAACGACTTTCTTTCCGTTAGAATTGCTGATAATGTGTTATCAAAGGTTAATTATACAATGCACTGCAAGGGCAAGTATGTATTGTTTTTTCAGTCTTCTACTCTTATACAATGAAAAAAAACCCTTAGGTAACCAAGGAAAAGCAAAGAAATCTAACTCTTTCTCTTTATATAAAAAATAACGATGCGGGTGATAACACTTGCTTTTATTTCTTGTAATGTATGGTTTAATTATCCATGGTGACCATGTCCAGCACTGTCAGGGTGAACCTGTCAAAGACAAAAACAAATTAAGGAAAAAACTAAAAACAAACATCCAATTAAGATAACGGTTCTTAAATGTTATATCATATTAAATTACATTTATTTACTTTGACACATTTTATTTCAGAACAACCGGCCGCGGTAGTCTAGTGGTATGGCGCTCACTTCGTGATCGGGAGGTACAGTGTTCGATTCTCGTTCCCGGCGCTGCGTCAAACATGAGACGCTTAACATAGCTAGTGACTGTTCCTTCGCAAAGCACCCTGCGTAAAAAATTTAGTCGCGGTAGGCGTTGGCACGATAAAGAACTGCTCAATGTCGATCTTGAGTGCCAAGTATAGGTCAAATTTGAAGCCCTTGACCTTTATACTGTTATATGGTAACGTTTCATAAGAGTGAAAAATTCTTGCAAGGGACATAAAACAATTTCAAAAAATACATATCTTGATTGACTTTGTTTGATTTACACATACTTATCACAGTAGAATTGCCCAACGTTAACTTAATTGTTAATTAAAAGAAAATATAAAATTTAAATGCAGTTTACAAATCACTCCTCCATTGTCTACTTCTATGATTGGTTATTAATCATTCAACATGTAACATTATTTACAGAATGGTAATCAGCAGATTTATAAAATAAACAAAATTATACGAAGCTGTTCTTTATAATAAATACCATTCCATGAAATGTATGGAGATAATGAACAGTATTCAAGCTCAAAAATCCATTAAACAATACAAATTTTTGAGCAGAGCAAACACGGACCTCCAAAACATCAGAGGTGGGTTCAGGTGCCATGGAGGAGTGAGCATACCCTGCCGACCGATCACACTCGCCGTGTGCTCCTTGTCATGATCGGGTAATAAAGGAAAAATCTGTCGACAATTCAATGTGTAAATAATGGCCTAACAGTTAGTATGAAAAACGTCAGCCATGAAAAAATATATGGTTCCCAAGAAAATCATTATTTTTCACAATTATCCAAGTATTAAACATTCGAATCTGTTATTTTAAAATTGTTCACAACAACCTTCATACTTTCTTAAAGCAGCCAAAACATAGATGAAATACTGCCGACTCGGCAAAACAAATGGCATTTGATTTTTTTGTTATTTTGAATTTATGTTTTGTTCATATTCACGTATTATTTTGTTAGTTTGTTATATCAGCACATTTTAATTGACTTCATGAACCCTTTTCCTGTGAAATCTGATGTTTAAAAAAAAAATATTTTCAAGCACAAAACTTTGACTATAAAAAATCGTGTTTGTGCCAAATATTTGTATTTTTTTTTTAATTTATGGGATTGGAGCATCAAATAATCTTTGAAGAGATTTTCCTGGTAAAATTTATCTGTTTTCGTGTGCATATTTTTTCACGTGATGCTAACTTACATGATGAAGCCATTCCATAAATTCAGCAGAGGTCACGGTACCGTCGTCTGAAAAATAAACCATATCATATACAATATGTCTGTAAAATACCATTGAAACTCAACACATAGCTAGAAAAAAAATTCTATCTGTAAAATGCATCGATTTGTAATATTTTGCAAATATTGTATACTTTAAAAACTTTATGTTTAACTGTGACAATTTAAATTTGTAATTTACATGTAGGGAGAGGGCGTAATAAGTTTTCACTAGTGCCCAATCCCTTTGTAATTATAAATTACAATAAAATATGTACAAATCAAACAAAATTCTAAACTTCCTGTAACTGGGAATCAACTTTTGTATGATTAAATTCATCTGAAATGTGGGTTCTCTCTGCCCCCCCCCCCCCCTCCTTTAGAATGAATAATGTATATCTTACTGTCTGTGTCCATGGCCATATGATGCACGTCCAGATCATCCTTTGACAAACACCCGTTAGAGGTTATATCAAGATGTCTGTACATGTTCTCTGACGCGTGGTGGTCGTCATGGTAATCATGATTCCACTGATGCGTGAACTCGTGCATGCTGACGCAACCGTCACCTAATCAAATAAAAGTGAAATAATTCTTTTTTAATTACATCTTGTCTCACCTTTCAATGGTTTCTATACATATGTACACTTTCATTGATTCTTTATCCCCCAGATCATTGACAGTCAAAACAATTTTGAAGAAAAATATTACTTCGTAGTTTCTACATTTAATATCAAAATTAAACCACAAGATAAAGTTAGATTTTGCATTCGTTAGAAATTTAAAGAACAGAGTGAAATGTAGATTTGAAAAAAAGGAGATTATGTCAAAAGATATTCTATATGCTTATTTATAGGAACCAGTAAATATTTTTGGAAGTCGCTAACAAACTTTGCATTTTTTTAAAAACCAGTAGATGTTTTCCTCCGTCGTTTTTAGTAATTGTTCATATTTCAATAAAAGACGGAACAAAAAGTCACGTTGATTAAGACTGAATGGTAGAAAATTTACTTAGCTCAAAAAGGATAACTCAAAGCTCTTTTGTATTCGAGTGATTAATTTTATATCTTTTCAGCACTGTCGATACAAATTAGAAATCACCGATTCATCAAATGACTTTGATATTGTTTGCAAAAAATAAATTCAAATGACCCAACATTGTCAAGAATGTGATAGACTTTAATTTCTTTCAAATATTATGAGACAACATTAAGATCTTAACAATATTTTTATAGAAGAGATATTACTTTAGACTTAATATTAATGTTAAATTAAATCATTCAGCATTAGATAAATGTTATCTCTATATTAAATATCACGCATTAATAAATGATTAATACATGACAATATATATTGAATGGAAACTCTTTGTATGTGTTAGGGAAAGAGCATATTTTGATCGAACTTCTACGGTCTATATGAAAATATAAATGTATGTTTAAACTGTTGATGGAATGTAAATATGCATACATGTTTTCTTTCAGAAGGTCTGGTTAAACAAAAGGAAAACCCCTCTGTTTTGTATGATATAGATATTGCTAATCTTGACAAACATTCTGTCAGCTTGTTTATGAAGAAATTGATTTAACATTTTTAACGTACATCAAACACTAATACATAATACATGTAACAGATCTATTACAATAATTCAACATTTTTTATCGTTCTTCCTCCTCTGGCCTTTATTCCTCTTTCTTATTTTAAAATCAAATGTTTATATAAGCCACGCCCCCTGACGTAATGATAGTCGAATGGATCTAACAAAATATAGTTCAGAGGTCAAATGAGGGTCGATTCAGTTATGAAGATGTAACCTCGTAGTTCATTTTTTACGGTTATTACTGACAATAAAATGATAAAGTTAAAATTCTATTGTTTTAACCTTATGTTTTATGTGAAGAACTTACTATTGTGGTCATAATTTGTAACAAACTCTGACAACATCTCATCCACCGTCATATTGCCGTCTGCGTTTTTGTCCATGTTGCCGATTATCATCTGTCCTATCTGATCAAGCGTCAATCCATGGTTATTGGCTCTTAAATTGTACAAAAAATGTGTATACTAGATAGTTTTGATTTTACAAAAGTTTCATTGGTATACCTCCATATCACAGTAAGGGTTTAAAAATAGGGGTTTCAGAATGCATGATTAAAAATGATAATTTATCATGCGTTGTAAGAGAGAAAGCAAAATTAAATTCATTTACGTAAATATATTTATGAAAAGAACAAGAGAATATAAAATAAATATTCAAGCAATGGATGAGAAGAAATTCCTATGACATGGACCGTTAATGATGAAGCACAATAAAATTAACAAATTCCCTATTTAGTTTATCATCACGTTCCTAACAGACCTTAGTATACTTATTATAAGCCTCTCACCCTGCTACTCCACTGAACTATAAATAGCGTGTCTACAAGTAATGGAAAAATCTGGATATCAAAAGGTAACTATGGAAATTTCACATCACAGATTTAATTCCATAATAACACGTCTATATTCACTGAATATTTACTATATAATAATTAAGGTTGTCAACGAATAACCGGCTACTTGAGTACTCGACGAATGGTCCAACTTATTACCACTATGTCTTATTCTGAGTTGGCATTTAGATTCTAAAAGTACGTTTAACAATAAGCATTCTAAGAGTATTGCATAAGCAATATTGGTCCCATACCGGTAAGTGTACTCTGGTTCCCCTAAAAAATTAAACAGACCGTAATACCGTCAAAAATCATTGAATTGGAAGGAAATGTTGTTGATCTATCACTAATTAACTAAGGAAGACTCAAGTACTAAAATGCCGTTTAATATCTGCAAGCGTTTAGGGGGAAAAGTGTGGGAAATCTGCTCCCCCCCCCCCTTAGAAGTTATAAAAATCATGGTTCCATCAAAAATCATTGAAGTGGAATGAATTGCACACATGATTTATTACTCAAGGTACTCGTACACTCACATACTAAAAATTAGCTTAATGCCCGCAAGCGTTTAGACAAAAAAAATTCGGAAAACCAAGTGGAACAGACTGACATACAGACAAGGAAGAGACCTACAGACCCCTTCGGTTTCACCGGTAGGGAACTAATAAAGTACACTTGATTATCAAATGAATACTCGAGTACTCGATCGGAAAGGCAGGCGAGTAACCGAAATTTGATCAATTTGACATATGATTTAGTATATGTACAAAAGGTATCTGTGCTAATTAAACATTTAAATTGTACATGACAGATTGTATAGTGATTTTCCATTGTAAAATGCTACAGGAATTTAAAATCAATTATTAGTCCCCTACCGGTGAAACCGGTGGAGACTATAGGTTTCTTCCTCGATTGTCTGTCTGTCTGTCCCTCTGTGTCTGTCAGTCTGTCCTACTTGGTTTTTTTACCCTTTTTTTCTATATGTTCGCTGCTATTGAGCTGATTTTTGGTAAGTGAGTGTATCTTGATAAGTTACAGAACAAATTTACATTTCGATCCGCTTCGATGATATTTGACGGAATTTAGGCCTTTTTTAATTTTTAAGGGTTTTCCGCACTTTTCCTAAACGCTTGTAAATATGGAGCTGTTTTTTTTTTTTTGTTTTTTTTTTTTTGGTATGCGAGTCTACCTTGATGAGTTGTAGATCAAGTAGCCTCAATGACTTAAATTTTGACGGAATTATGGCATTTTCAAATTTTGATGGGAACCAGATTACACTTACCCATTGGGGACTAGTACTGCTAATACAATACGTTGAAACTGCATAAATGTCTATACAAACCTCTTACCGGAGTCATTAGATCCTAATTTGATATTGTTTTGAAAATTACTTACGCATACACCATTCCAAGACATGAAACTACCAGTAAGAACTTCATACTGTCCTATCAATAGAAAACGTGGTGTTTTAATACAATATATATATACATGTATATTCTTCAGAAAGTATATTTCTCAATACGTTCTACATACATTTAGTTTTCTATCAAGAAAATGGTTACTTTGTTATTTGAAAGTTTCCTTTTTATAGTTTTTAAATATATTTACAATCAGTTATTTTGCATTAATGAAGCTTTACTTGATATTTTTCTTTAAGGAAAAGACAAACCCTTTAATGACGAGCAATGCCAACCTGTCAATTCCACAGACAGAGAGAGTCAGTGTTAGTGCTTAAATGTTATCTATTGTGACCTTTTCATTGTCAATCTTCTAGCACTGTTACATCAGTCTTGTAATCGGTCAAGCCTTTACACTGAACTGCAGATATCAGAGGAGAATACCTATTGCACGCCTTCAGACCGAACAGTGTATTAAGTACGGATTTCGACAACTTTTCAGAATGAAAGTAGGAACAAATAAATTGAAAGGCAGTACAATAAACATATACATACACGTTTTTCTTTATTTTTTTCCATTTAGCCGACGAGAATTTTGAAGTAAATTCAGTAGTTGATAAGACACGAATGTCTATATCTTTGTTTGCAGCGGGAATCTAATATTATATAATATGGAAGCATGTAAACTACTCCATGGACAGTACATGTAGCTTGAAAAAAGGTGACAAAGTGCAACGATTGCTCACTCACACTGTATTATTTTTTTTTATTTAAAACTATAATTTAGGCCTTAGGTATTCTTGAAAATCATAACTACATTACAATTAAATACACATACTTACCTATAACAAAGACCACAGAGCCACATGCTCACCTGGGCATTTTATGCCCCATTGGACTTAAATATATTAATGCACAGTGTAAATTATAGATTAAATATTGTGTCTTCTTCAATAATAAACTATGTACAAAGGAGAGTACATATACAGGCAAACATATGCGGCTATTACTCTCTTTTGACAGCATCTGTTTACAGATGTATTTCTTTTTTAAGTCCTTGTGTAAATGTTTAGCTGATTTTGTAAATGTAATACTTCAAAGTACCAGGTGCTAAATGCAACATACCATTGAAAGAGTTTTAATGCGTTTTTTTTATTTTATTTTACTTTAAAGGAAAAATATTTTAGTCATATCAAATATTTGAAATGATAAATACCTAATATATAACAATGTAAGTGTGAAAAATTTTCTGACCTAATTCACTTTCTTAACAGACCTTGTATATACATGTACACGCTTCATTACTTAACACTATATGAAGTAATATATGCTGGTTATATATGTTGCAAAGAATTTACAGAAAATACCTGCATACAGCCACGGCGCTAAAACTTATTAGATTTGATCGTATAAAGTTTGATGTTTATGCCACATATATAGATTATGTTATAGAAAGTTCAGAATTATGCTGTCTAGAGGGCACGTTCCTCCGGTTTAGTATTCATGAAATTCAGTTCGTTTTAATGGCATGATGTTTTACATTCGTCAAGTATGATACATGTACGTATCGTTAGTTGTACGATATAAAACTTTAAAAAAAAAAATCATGGTTAAAAAATTTAACATTTTTTAAGAAAATCGATTTCAAATGTATATTATACAAATGTATAATTCAAAATATTAGATAATCTTTTGTAAGAATGTGTTTGTCATGCACGTGACAAGGCTTCAACCTTAATTAAAGGAATACTGAGAACTTTTCTCAAAAAAATTAATTTAAAATTAATCAAAAAATTCTAATTTCTAGCTATTTTTAACAGGATTGATTACACGATTGGGTAATACATGCTAACAAAGAATCGAAATTGGATTTCATGACGATTCAACATGACATCAATAGTTGTTTAGACTTTCCATTCTATAGGGTTATTCGACATTTACATGTAAATGTTAGTTGTTTATAACGGTGATGCTATCCTTCGATAAATGCCAATTGATCCAGCATCCAATAAGACTTCTCCCGTCTTCACGTCATCCATTTGGTCTATAAAAGACTTGATCTTCTCACATATGAAGAGGCTAAACAAAAGGCAAGGTACGTAAAAGTTTTCTATCACTGAAATTTTCTCTAAGTAATCTCTGTAAATTACAAATGCAATTTACCTTTCATTTTTATCTATCTTTAAAGGTTTGCAAGTTTCTGACCATAGTAATGTATGTTCTTTGAATTTTTATTTCATATTCGAAATAAAAGGACTTAAAAGAGGTTAACACATTTATCAAAATTTTAACTTAACACAGCGACTTTAAATAATACAGGGCTCGGTAGGGCATTTCCTTATGGCTTAATTTAGAACAGACTAAATCTGGGGATTTTTCCAGTTCAGCTGGTTACAGCTAATTCTGTGTGATTGTTTGTTCCCTTTTAATAGAACTTGCAAATGAATATTTTACCATATATATGAGGGTTTCTACTTTTCCAGTAAAATAGCTTTAGTTTTAACAGGAATATCAAATGATGGGATTTGTTGCGGTGTCAATCTAAATGCAGATTACAAACGGGAATTTACTGTCATAGTAATTTTCTTATTCTTTTTTTTTTTAAATAAAACATAAATGTACACTGCTGAATTCGAATTGGATAACTAATTGTCACACTTGTTTTCTTTGTATTGTTTTAGAAAATACGTGGGTTGGAGAGTAGATGTACACCTATATTATTTGTCGTAAAAATTAGAATAAAAAATTGCTTTTTTAATATTAGAATTTCAAAATCAATTCAAATTAAGTCCGAAAATACATATTAGAGGAAGTAAATTTAAAGTAAAAAAGAAATTTTGCCTTGTTTTTCTTTGATAAAAATTCAAAAATAAGAACAAAATTATTTTGAAACATCAATTTTTACTCATTACAGATATGGCTGGAATACTCCAGGTTTTTCTTCTGTTTCTTTTCTACAACACCTCTGCCGTTGGACTCAATGTTCAACTTACGTCTTCTGGTGAGCATTTAACTAATTCTTGGCTGTTCATTTTAAAGCTTCCTCACATGATGAAGTGTACAAAGTAAACTGTAAACTGACATGAAATAGAGATTATAATCAATTCTTGAATAGATTGTTTAACAAAATGATTTTTTTTTTCATACAATTTACATGTTAAAGCTGTGAATTACTGCAGTTTTTGTCTGTTTTGTTTTGCTTATATATATATATATATATATATATATATATATATATATATATATATATATATATATATATATATATATATATATATATATATATATATATATATATATATATATATATATATATATATATATATATATATATTTGTGTAGAGTTCGTATGTTTGCCACAGGTAGGGATGTCAATTTTGTTAGTAATTCATATTCGAATATTTCAATGAAATTATTCGAAAATATTGGATTATTCGGTAAAATATATAAAATCTGGTTTATTTTATTCAATCAATATGCATCGTCCTACTCTCATGACAGGTTTTGCGTTGATAATGGTTGCGGAATAATTTTCCAATTTTGACTTTAAAAACTTAGGAACATATTCAGCCCAAGATAATCAGGTAATATGCACATTTACTAGTATTCGGAAATTGAGCCCTTTACAATATTACAAACTGATTATATTAAACATGTTCATCAATATTCAAAAAAAATATTTATAAGTTCACTTTTCAATCTTTTAAACAGTCTAAGAAGGGTTTCATCTTGTTCTTGATTACATAGATTCAATCTTATTAAAAGACGGGAGTTTTATACACATGTGACACCAACTTCAAAATCTCAGAAACCGCTTTCTAGATATAACTCTGAGCGTTCACTCGATACACCCTCTTAAAAGATTGCCTAGAGACAAAATAATTCTTCTGAGACACCTAACTCAAAACGAAATAATTATTAATACAAGAGGCCCATGGGCCACAACGTTCACCTGAATAACTTTGGCCCTGCTGTTCTTCACCAGATGATCTTTTTGTAATACCTATTGTGGCCCGCCCTACCCACGGGGATCATGATTTTAACAATTTAAAATCTACACTACCCTAGGATGTTTCCATATAAGATTCAGCTTTACTGGCCAAGAGGTTCTTGAGGAGAAAATTTTTAAAGATTTTTCCTATATATTTCAATGTAAAACTTGGATTCCCTATAGTGGCCCCGCCCTACACCCAGGGGTCAAGATTTGAATTCTTCAGAATTTACGCTGCCCCAGGATGCTTCTACAAAAGTCTTAGCTTTTCTGACCAAGTGGTTCTTGAGAAGAAGATTTTTTCTTTCTATATATTTCAATATAAAAATTGGATTTCCTATTGTGGCCGCGCCCTGCCCCCAAGGGTCATGATTTTAACAATTTAGAATCTACACTACCCAAGGATGCTTCCACATAAGTTTCAGCTTTTCTGGCCTAATGGTTCTTGAGAAGAAGATTTTTAAAGATTTTTTCTATATATTTCAATGTAAAACTTGGATTCCCTATTGTGGCCCCGCCCTTCCCCCGGGGTCATGATTTTAACAATTTAAAATTTACACTACCCCAGCATGCTTCCACATAAGTTTCAGTTTGTCTGGCAAAGTGGTTCTTGAGAAGAAGATTTTTAAAGATTTTTTCTATGTATTTCAATGTAAAACTTGGATTCCCTATTGTGGCCCCACCCTTTCCCCGGGGGTCATGATTTTAACAATTTAAAATCTACACTACCCCAGGATTATTCAACATAAGTTTCAGCTTTTTTGGCCTAATGGTTCTTGAGAAGAAGATTTTTAAAGATTTTTTTCTATATATTTCAATGTAAAACTTGGATTCCCTATTGTGGCCCCGCCCTTCCCCCGGGGTCATGATTTTTACAATTTAGAATCTACACTACCCCAGGATGCTTCCACATAAGTTTCAGCTTTTCTGGCCCAGTGGTTCTTGAGAAGAAGATTTTTCAAGATTTTTTCCTATATATTTCAATGTAAAACTTGGATTCCCTATTGTGGCCCCGCCCTTGCCCCGGGGGTCATGATTTTAACAATTTAGAATCTACACTACCCAAGAATGTTTTCACGTAAGTTTCAGCTTTTCTGGCCCAGTGGTTCTTGAGAAGAAGATTTTTTAATGACACCACCCTATTTTTGTCTTTTCTTGATTATCTCCCCTTGTAAGGGGGTTTGGCCCTTTATTTTAACAATTTAAACTCCCCTTTACTCAAGGATGCTTTGTACCAAATTTGGTTAAAATTGGCCCAGTGGTTCTTGAGAAGAAGTTGAAAATGTGAAAAGTTTACAGACAGACGGACGGACGACGGACAACGGGTGATCAGAAAAGCTCACTTGAGCTTTCAGCTCAGGTGAGCTAAAAAGTAGGTCTATATAAGATCAGAAAGTAGTGAAAGAAATCGAGCGATTGAAATCGATCCCTATAGTACAATATAAATGAAATAGAGATGATTCCGGCACTTTTCCAATCAAATTTTATCATAGTTATCTCTTTTTAATGAAATCTTGGGAGGGGGCGAATATTCGAATCAAAATTCATATTCGTTTATCTGCTTACCGAGTGAATATTCGATTATTCGTTGACATTATTAGTCACGAATACATGTAAAGAAAGCAAAACGGCATATTTTCACTGGCAAAATTTCTCTTCTTCCAACAAAGTACTTGTAATTAAACAAGTTAAATGTAACAATCAACAGGTTCATGCTTTTCAAATAATGCAGCTAGAATAATCATCAGTTTCCAAGGAAATTTCCAAGTCAGTCCCTGTCATGGTGTCCTGAATGAAGAAATTCCATCATGGTAGAAGACTAACAAAATATCGTAGAATTTGAGACAAATGTCATAAATATTAGAATTACATTTTCGGAATCAAAGTGTACAAGGTTCTTTGATACTATCCAACTTAGGAAGTCTATTTTATTGTCCAGGTTGTGATTTGATGATATAATTATTGATATTCTGTTGCCTAAATGCGATTTCTCCAGAACAAATCTGTATAAATTATGCTTATATTGCTTATTATATAACGGCACAATTGCGCAGATAAATTCTTCAATGAATCCAATTCCCAATAGCACCTGTCTTCTTAAATTGAACGATATTAAAAGTTTCCGGTTTCCGATCGAGAAAAGCCTGAATATTTTTACTTTTCAACTGATGTGTGATGTTTAATAAAAAAAATTTGGAAGAACGCAATAAATTGATTCATTATTAATAGAAGCAAACTACAGAAGTATAAATCCACGCCTGTATCTGTGATTATAGAAATATGATTTATTGTTCACGACTGTTAATATACAGTACTATAGCATTGATAGCTTCCTGATGTGACAGAATTGAGTACAATCATTAATGAATCATTCTCCATAGATTTTAGAACCATTTTGCTTTATCTGCCTTTCATCAAAATAGCTAACTCAGAACAGATTTATTGGACGCAAACGAAAGAAGTAGAGTCTATTGTGTAACGTTTTGTATCAAACTGTTAATATCAGTTTTTTTTCTTTTTTCTACACAACCACAAGTTTTGTAAACGCAAAATAATTGAACATGATGAATGATAGTTGAATACGTGTATTAAATTGTTGCGACACATGTAATGTTACCCCTACGTATTTAAGGGATTAAGGAGAGTTTTTTCGGGGTCATTTATTTCTAGATATGAGACCAACGTCCCCGTAGAAACTTTTATTTGTAACAGATCTCGAAATGAAAGTCACCACAGAGTCTGACACATCTGCTTCATACTTAGATTTTATACTAGAGAAAGACATTGAGGGGCAAACTTCCCTTATTTATGTAGAATACATGCATATTATAATCACCTGCATATGGTATTTATTCTCCCAGTTGATTCGATACGCAAGAGCATGTTCTGCAAAATTATAATCACTTTCTAAACCGAAACAGGCTTCTACCAAATAAGTTAATGGCACAAGGGTATCACCAATCTCGTTTAAAGTCAACATTTCACAAATTCTAAGATCGATACAATGACCTTGTTTGCAAATACAACCTGTCGAATGTTGACTGACATTTTTAATACAAATTATTACGCTGTTATTTGCTGAGCTGACTACAGCTTTATCTGTTTGCCCACTCAAGATAAAAAAAAGGCTAGGATGACTAACAGTGATCGATCTCAAAAAACCTACAAGCAATACAAATCTGTGAACAGGGCTTAAAACACAGACCCCCGGGAATTATACAGGTAGGATCAGGTGCTTAGAAGGAGTGAGCATCCCCTATCGACTGGTCACATCTGCCATGAGCCCTATGTATTGATCACGTAGACTGAATGTTCCGTAGTCTAATTTAGTATAAAAACAAAGGCCTAATAATCGGTATGAAATATATCAGTCAAAGTACGACCCAATGATAAGTTACATTGGCTAACAAGGTCAGTTTAACGACCGCTGGAATTTTCGAAATGCTGACTTTAAACAAAGTTTAAATCCCTGTAACATCAACTTATCTGTCAGTAATCTGCCTCGTTTAAAAATTGATCGTACTCAGAGCATTCTCTTAGGTATCGAATGTTTAGAGATATAAACAACATATCGGGTGATACATACTGTACGTAAATAAGGAAAGTTGAGAAATTCGACATAGAATTCAGTTCGAACTTGGCCCTTATCGTCTATTGTCAGTATAACATCCAAATATGAAAAAGATGTGGCAAACTCTGCTGTGTCTTTTATTTCAAGATAGATTGTATTTTGTTTAACGTCCCATTCGAGAATTTAACTTTCACTCATATAGAGACGTCAGCGTATGCCGGTAAATTCAAGTTTAGACCTATGTTCGGCACTTAGGGCCATTGAGCAGTGAGGGTTCTTTATCGTCCCAACGCCTACCGTGACACAGGACCTCGGTTTTTAAAGTCTCATCCGAAACACCCGTGACCTTTAATTTTAATGTTGGGCGCTTGGCGAAGGAACAGTCATTACCTATGTTTACGTCTTAGGTTTGACGCGGCGTGGCGAACGAGAATCGAACACTGGCCTCCCGATCACGAAGCGAGCGCCCTATCATAAGGTTACGGTGACCGGTAACCGACATATGAATGAACCTAACGATTGTTAATTGATTAAACATTGCCAAAATATCTTAATGTCGAGTTGAAAGTGGCAGCACGTGGTTTCTTCTTCTCATGTTGAATTTTTTAAAATAAATTCTGTTTCATGGGAATATAAAAACAGGCAACATTGCCCATCGAAATTCCAACAGTTTGTTGGAAGACCTGGTCTCCAAAGACTAAGTAGATGTTGTCAATAACGATATCCAGCATCCTTTTAATATCACCTTGTTAAAGAGTGTGTGAAGAATCAGAAAGTTTTATAAGAAAGTATTTTTGTTGATGACCATGCAATCAATCAAAATTTTCGAGTTTCATTTCTGTTGAAGAGGCAGTCTTTTAATGATATCAATAAGTCTGGGGGTTTTTAAAGTTTTTTAATCTTATTCTTTGACTTAACTTATACCTTTTGATGTTACTGACGTTTGAAAAATGATGTGATTTTTAATTTTTCAGAGGTTCTTTTGGAGTTTTTGATAATACACATTTGAATTACACAACTTCTAGAGTATGCTGTTGTACAGTACGTCTTTTAAAAGTTTCTACTTTACAGCAGTTAATATTTTTGTGAGGAGTAAAAATGGGGGCTTAGTAAAGCATTTACAAGACAAAGAGCTTACGGTGGGTGTGACCAGTCGATGGATGTTTACTCTTCCATGGCACCTGGCCCCACCTCTGAAGTTTTCAGAGGTCTGTGATTACTCTGTTCTCAATTGCTACTAGTATTTGGATTTTTGAGCATGAATTATGCTCGTTGTTTTCATATTTCACCCTTCCTATGAAAGAATGTCCTTAAAAAATAAATGAAGTTATATTATATTAGTGCATATTTCTTCTTATTACGTTATTTTGATGTTACAAAGTTTACATACTTTTTAGAATCAACCATTTAAACAGTTTATAGAATTATTCTCCGTTGAGGGAAAAACTACTAAAGTCTATATACATGTAATAGATATTCCCCATATTAGGGGTTTCCTCTACCGTTTCATAAAATTGCTTAAAATTATACATACTGAATTAGAGGATAAGTATACAGGGGCTGTGTCTCAAGGTGGTGTTTTTTTGTTTTGTTTTTTTTTTGTTGTTGTTGTTGTTGTTTTTGTTGTTGTTTTTTTTTTTTTTTTTTTTTTTTTTTTGTTTTTTGTTTTGTTTTGTTTTGTTTTGTTTTTGTTTTGTTTTTTTTTTTTTGGTTTAGTTTTGATTTTTTTGTATTGTGTTCTTTTATAACTGCATTAATATATGATAATCAAAATCAATACCGAAAATGCTAATATCAGAACATTTCTGCTACTATGCGTTCAATGTTCTGGTGCACAAAAAACTTAAAACTTCACATGAGTGTTTTGGTAGTGTTTAAATACATTGAGGTTTGCATTATCGCTTGAATAAATCTTGTTTTTATGAACATGATAAATATACATGTATATACATGCACAGTGTCACACAGTATCCATTGGTTGGGAGAAACTTCACGTATATTTGAATATCCAAAAAGTTTACAGAAATAGATCAGAGATTGATTGATTGATTGTATGTTGTTTTTCATACTGTTCGAGGATTTTTCCTCATATAGAGACGGCACCGTATACCAATGACTGACAAGGGGCCGCAATTTTTACTTCAAAATGCCGAATGCTTGGAGAAGGAACAGTTGCTTCCTATTTTTTTTTTTTGGTCAGTCATGGCTGGGTTTTTAAGCCACGACCTTCCAATCACAGAGCGAGGGCTCTACCGACTTAGCTACCGTGGCGGTGGTCGTGCAAGAGGCAGCCCCGACTTGACTGACTGGTATATATGGTATATATGATCGACAAAACATTGGCAGTATTAATTAAACGTCTGTAAATTAATAATATTTCAGTTTGTTCGGTTAAGTAAAATATATTAGAAAGGACGCTTTATATTGACGTATAATACACACTTAGGAGAATATGATAATTATCACGTCTCCAAAACCTTATGAAATCACGGACGTTTTGTTTCACATTAATTTAGGATAGTCCATTGAGGTGTAAAGAGCAGGGTGTCTTTAAAAGTTCTAACACCTGTTACTACGTCAGTAGTATTTGCTCCCAATCTAAAGCACGTCAATGGAAAGTTAAGGTACTCGGTGAAATAGTTTTATATGTATTGATAAACTAAGTTTAATTTGAGGACAAATATTACATGTATTGCAGTATCAGAATGATGGCTTATTTCAAGAACTGCACGATGTTGGAAATTTCTCAAGAAGCCCAAACTGGACTATACAAAAAAGCAATAATCTTCTAAGCTAGCTGCAAAATGACGTGCATATCAATAATAATTACAAAATATTTTAACTTTAGTTAAATAAATCACGTTCCACTATCTGTAATTACGACAAAAGACTACGAAAAAATATAATATATAAATAAAATATAAAGTACACCAAAGTGACTATTTATCAAAAATTTTACAAAAAGGAATGAAAGACATGCGTCCATTTCTACACCTACAATTTATTTGTTGATTTCAGAGACAAAATGTCTTAGGGAATTCAATGAAGAAAGACAGTGATTCGTTCGTATCTGTGTAATGATAAATGGGTTAAATACATGTAAATAAAACATAGGTAATCAAAGATTACGAAGCTCACCTCTACGAATGTTATCTTTAAGTAAGGCAAATTTCACATCTTCTTTTTTTAGTTAGTGTACATCCCAAAATCAATATCCATGTAAGTTTGGTTTAAGTACGACTTATAGTTACTTGGCAACAGACCTGTTCAAAAAACGTTTATCCTGTTTACTAATCAAGAAAATTTTGGTTAATTCCAACATCCAAAGTAAGTCTGGAAGTTTTCATCCTTAGATGCACCATCTATGCAAGTTTAATCATAACAGGCCATAATGTTATATAGCTACTCCAAAAAAAATTATCCTGGTCACTCATCTGGAAAGATTCAGAATCAAAAGCAAGTCTGGAAGTGACCATACCTAGCTACATCACCCATGCTAATTTGGTTAAAATATGGCTAAGATTCACTCATGTGGAAAATCTAGGTCGAATCCAGCATCCGAAGCAGGTTGGTTAGCGTACATCCCAATATGCATCATCCATGCAAGTTTGGTCAAGGTAGGGCTTATAGTTACTTGGGAATGGACCTGCTCCAAAATCTTTAACCTGGTCACTAATCTGGAAAATCTAGGTCCGATCCAACACCCGAAGCAAGTGTGGTAGTGTCCATCCCTAGATGCATCATCCATGTAAGTTTGGTCAAGGTAGGGCTTATAGTTACTTGGGAATGGACCTGCTCCAAAAATTTACCTGATCACTCAACTGGAAAATGTAGGTCAGATCCAGCATCCGAAGCAAGTGTGGTAGTGTCCATCCCTAGATGCATCATCCATGCAAGTTTGGTCCAGGTAGGGCTTATAGTTACTTGAGAATGGACTTGCTCCTAAAACTTTAACCGGAACGCCGACGCCGGGGGTATAGCATATTAAGCTCATCTCGAATTCGTCGAGGTGAGCTAAAAATGATCTTAACGGCAAAACATTAACGTATTAAGTACATTATGTACAACTGATCATCACTTTGTTTCACCGTTTGAGGGTATTGAAGACACAGGGTCCCATGTAATTCCGCCAATCAATTTATTTCGTAAATTATATCTCGTCTTTCTTTATTTTACAAGGGGGAAACGGTCCCAGTCCTCAACTTAATCTGTGTTGGGGAGGGGGCGGCAAAAGATTTCAAAAACAACAATTTTTCGTTATTGCGAGATACTTGTGTTTCAATTGTTTTGAGTAGATTACTAAATACTCTGTTTTCTTTAGTAAAATGCAGAATACGGATTTGGGCGTGGTTCCTTTATCATTAGGTCGTCCGGGATAGTTATGTTTCTTAATATTTTGAGATATTCTACAAATATACTCCATATTTAAGTTATAAATATTTTTATCCTACAGAAGATGAAGCACCCATGCCAAAGACCTACAACATGCATACCTTGGAATTGGATAAGCCATACGGGGGAGTATACAAAGGTTCATATAATTTAAGAGGACATTTTGATGAGCCAGACTTCGAAAACTTTCATGTTGCATCTAAAAGACCTTTTGGAGGAATTTATGGAAAACCCTACAAATTTAGAAAGCGTGAGTTCCCACCACTGGAGGGTCATTACGAAATGAAACGTCCATTTGGAAAAATTTATGGAAACTTTATGAAAGAAAAGTTTGTGTCTGGTGACCATGCTGAATTCAAACGCCCATTTGGGTCAGTATATGGGAACGCCTTTAAAACTGGCAAACGTCCCTTTGGTTCAATATATGGACAGTCAGATAATATGGGTAAACTCCCCTTCGCCTCAATATATGGACAAACCCATGATATGGGCAAACGACCTTTTGGCTCAGTCTATGGACAGTCCTTTAGTATGGGTAAGCGTCCCTTTGGTGGAGTGTATAGAAATTCCCAGAAAATAGGCAAACGATATACATCCCCACTTGTTCATGATGAAGTAAAGCGTCCATTTGGTAAAGTTTATGGAAAATTGTACAAAATTGGCAAAAGACCGTTTGGTCAAATATACGGAAAGAATTATGGAAAAAGATCCCTAAATAAATATAACCAGGTACCTGAAATGCTCATGCCTTTTGCTGATGGCACGTCATTCCATCCAGATTCTGAAGACAGAAGAGGACAAAAAGCGTATGCAAGTAGACCTTTCGGAAGAATTCCCAACAGCGATACAATTCTCGGAAGACATCACGGTGAGAAGAATGAATTTTTCACAGAAAAGCGTCCTTTTGGACAAATATACAGCAAATCAAGGCCATTTGGAAAACGGTCTTTCCATGGTACTAATGACTATCCAAATGATATACTAATGCTGTCAAAGAGACCTTTTGGCCGAGTATACGGAAAATCTTACAAGCTTTGGAAAAGACCATTGAAAAAACATGACTTTCGAAAACGATCTTCATACAGACCTGTCGTTGCTGTTGTGGATGAACATGAGCGTCCCTTAATTCTGAAAGTAGCAAATGACCAGGACGAGGACTATCCTCTCTTCGTTGAAAATAATGTTAGTGAAGATCTAGACCCGAAAAACCTTGGGCAAATAACGACAAATGATGCTTCAGATGGATACAAAACATATATTTTAGATTCTTCTAGTTTGTTCCCTGTGTTCGTAAACATCGAGGATGAAGAAAATCATGACAGGCTTCATAAAAACGATGAGGAAGAGTCGGAAGAGAACGCGTCAGGTGAGGGCGGAGATTTTGATATAAATGATCATGATGGAAACGAGAGGAGCGACTATGATGAAAGTCTGGCTGCAGTCGTGCCTCGGTTATTCTGAACATTCCTAAACAATTGATATGAGGAGAACATTAGAATATATACTTTGGAACAAATTAAATCTGGTGATATATATTGTATTTACTTTTTCCATGGAGAAATTTACCTATCAACATTTTAAGTTCATATAATTTTGAATTTCCGTTTGTTTCAATGTTCACCATAGTAAGCTGGTAATAAAGATTTTACACTTTAAATGACTCTGCCTGGGGAGAGTTTTGTTGATGTTCTCAAGACAAACTATTTTATTGTCTTCTATGTTTATGAATGGCCAGCAACAAAAGGGTGACAATCAAAGTTAGGGCGCGGAAATATTTGTTTGACGAAAATCAAGAAAGAAGAGCGACAAATGATGCAAATGGACATTAATATAATCCGATTGTTTTACTAGTACAGCATGATCAAAATCTCTGAACATACCAGCACACAGGGTGCAATATTAGATATTATTACATTTTCAACAGTGAAATACTGTGACTTATTTATTGAATAAAAGTGATATTCTCTCACAGTATGAAAGGATACCAAAATGATATTCTCTCACAGTGTGAAAGGATATCAAAGTAAGTAAAAAATAATTTCTAGCCTGTCATAAGATAGAGATAGTAACTAAGCATCTTGATAGAGCTAAAACTGCAAATTTCTTCCCAAATATGTTGCTAAAATCCATGCTATGTAATGTTTTCAATCACACAACTACTAAGCTACGATCGACGTCTCAACCGCTCAACTATGACGCCAAGCCTATGACGCTGTGTTAAGAAAAGACAGAGGCAAAGGGAAAATCAAAGAAAATGTAAGAAACAGAAGATTCAATGTTTTGTAGATGAATATGGAATTTATTTCACTCGTGAGACAGGATTTTTTGATATTTTCACTCGTGCTTCGCACTCGTGAAAATATCAAAATATCCTGTCCCACTCGTGAAATAAATTCCATATTCATCTACAAAACATTGAATATCCTCTATTTATAACAGCTAAGTCTATAATAAAAAAAACTACCAAATTTTAGCGTTCAATATCTTGGCGTTTTATTGACCGCTGAGTTTGTATTCCGTATTTGAGTAAACGCCCCGTTGTAAGGTGGCAGGGGATAGCTTCGAACTAAAGACCCGAGATAGCCCCTGTTTGATCTGATATTTTATGTAGAAAAATGAACTGAATAATTATGGAAGACATGCGAAAGGTGTGGTACGGGTTTTTTTTTTTTTAAATATGGTTTTTCTTGTCTGAAAGTATCAGAATCTTTATTGTAACAATTTTTCAAGTGAATTTAAAATAGATTCAAAATTTTATTGATTTATTTTACATTTAACAATCCGGAAGACAAGCCCCTATGGTTGGAGCCTCTGAACTCTCAGAGTCACGATGAATCATATTCATACATTTCGATTACATGTTTCCTGTGCATGCGTACATTACTGAGGCGCAAAACAATTTTTCCATTTTGGACCAGGGAGGGGGTGGGGGTTTAGATATGTTTAAGATTCTGAATCGTGCATTTTTAAGAAATCAATAATACATGTACTTTCGAAATTTGAAAGAAAAAATTGAATAGAGAGCCATGCAAAAAAAAAACTTTCTTGCTTTTCTCATTTTTGCGTTACTATGCCTCCATCTAGTAAAGTTATAAATATTCTATTTCATAAACCATAAAAAGTAAACACAATTATGAAATGTCAGAATAATATTTTTTATTCCACTAGACTCCACTATTTAAAAACCCACTGCAATATGCACAAAAGTAGGACCAAATAATGGTCTATAACACATTATATGAAAAACATAAGAATTCTATTTACAAACTATTTACAAACGAGTTGTTGTTAGTGACGAAGATAGTAATCAATGGCTGTAGAAAATGCAGCGAATCCCAGGGCTCCAAACAGACCAGCTTTCAGTCCAGCTGAAATCATCATCAACGATAATAAATAACAATTCCTGTTCAAAATTTTATATCTCCTTCAAATGCATAAGGCGCATTTTTTACTGTATACTGGGTTATTATCTATAGTGTTATTTTTACCACAGGCAAATGGATAAATGGTGCGCAAATTTGGGGTGAATGGTACAAAAATAAGCATTTTTAGATTATAAGTCCCCTACTGGTGGAACAGATTGATAGATGAATGAGATTTAATGTCTCCTCGCTTTTGCAAAAGCGGGGACGAAAATTATCAAGCAGGACCTCAGGCATTTATCAATGGCATTATCCCGAATGGATCAAAGAATGTTTTTAAAAAAAATACAAAAATATTTCAGAATCGTTTGTGAAATGATCTGATTACATTTACCTCGCAGTCCTAGAACACCCCCAACAAGAAATCCAGTGATGGTGCCATTCCCAAGTTCAGTTTTTCCACGGTACTGAAACAATATGTAAAGTAACAGACGGTCAAGCTCACATTCAATAGGAATGATAAATTTACTGGGAGACTCAATTTCATGTGTCAAACTCTTGACTACAAACCTGTTTATACTGAGCCCGGGACAAGAAGCAATACATACCAATAATTTTTTTTTGAAAGGTTGAATATATAATAATGTATTGAAGACAATGTCAGTTTTCTGTTTACATCTTTTTGTACTGCTCATTTTTACCCTTTGTTCTTTGCTCAAGAAAATCTGTTTTCACTCAATTTTAAAATTACTTTTTTATCCATTTTTTTTTGGTCTTACTTGTCACTTTAGCTGTATCGGTTTGTCACACTGCTGAATAAGAAAGGAGATGGGTGAACAAGGCGTGCAGAATGCCTATAGCTTCAGATATATAAAATTCATATTCGATTTGTGAATCTAGTATTAAGAGTAAAGTTAATATCATTGAAATTCCTGAAAATACGAGTATGATAAACAACACTTTTGTGAGGAAAATTTTCTGGGCACTTTTTTTCTGTTATTAAAAACTAATGTGGTTCTCGCTGGGTTCGAACCCAAGCAATAAAAATCCTGACTTTCATTTTCCTATGAGACCAACACACTACATGTAAACACTACGCTACACAGCTCTTGATGAATAGTGGTATTTAAATCATGTTTGTGATATGACCCTTGAATAAATGGACTTCAAGTATTTCTCGGAAAGATGCGAATGTCGTGTCATAAAAGTGTATTTTTAAGGTATAGTGGGTCTTTGCTCCATGTTTTTGTTTACCGAAAATTCTACATTTTTACGCAGGCTTTGAGAATAAACTTTAAAAAAAATGGAGCAAAGACCCACTCATACAGAAAAATTGTGTTATAGTATGAGAAAATGATCCTTTTTGCCCACTTTAGTGTGTGTATGCTATTTCATGGGCAAATAATTTAAATCTTTTTGAGATTTTTGCAAATTGTGGAGTTTTTCATAAAGTATACTTTAATGACAGATGAAATATCAAAGAAAAATTTTGTTATAACTGAGATTCAATTTTTCACCTTCATGTTTGTTGCACTTTAGGCAGTTCGCTCGCCTTGTTCGCCCATCTTCTTTAAAAATCTGCAAAAAACATGAAGTGGTGGGCAGATGACTTACCGACTCTAAACAGCACTCTGTTCCAGCAAACATGGCTCCAACAACAGCAAAGTTCTTGCCATATGACCAAAATCTGGCTCGCATTTCCTGTAGAACCATTCTGGTGGTGGGGGTTTCTGTTGACATAGTTGACATGGGGTCTACACCAGCCGTAAACAGTCCAAATAATCCCCCAAGGGCAAATCCTGGAAAATAGGTATTACTGATAACACACCAGTAGTGTTCAATTCAATCAGACTTTTCTGAATAAAATATTGTTTAATGGAAGTTCCAATGAAACCCACGCAAGTCCCTATACATATACTATACTCATAAACGACAAATATTTACTTTTGAAAAAAGTTAATTAGGCAGGGAAGTGAATTAGAGTAACTCTGCTGTGAGATAAATGAACATTAATTTTTTACCTGAATGGTACCCTCACTACCCTGCACTCAGTTTACAGAACCTGTGCACTTTAGAGGGTGATAATAAGTACAGTGTACCACTGAGTGTTTTGTTTTTGGTAACAAATTTCTGTTGATTATACGCGTGCTGACGACTGACAAACGCATCAACGTTTAGGAAAATCATCACTGTAGGGGACAGAACCATGGCAACGAAATAAATTAATCCTTTAGAGTCCAGAAATAGGCGCTGAAGTGGGTATTTTTTCCAAGACGAGAGCTTTCGTCCCCTGTAGAGTTTATGTATATAGGTGTGGTAAGTCCTCTTTTAAACGTGTTTTTTCTTGAATGAAAGTGTCAGAATCTCTATTTTAACAACTTTTAAGTGTATTTAAAGAAGATTCAATTTTTTTTAAATTTATTTGACACTTAACAATCCTGAAGACAAGCCCCTATGCCCTCAGATATACCTGATATAGCGAGAGACACATAGAATATGGCGGACAAATTCCTTTTACGAATCGTGTTCAGCATTAAAGTATCAGTTTTTGGAGTGGATAACCCTTTTAAGCATACTTTTATTAGTATTTTGACAAATAATTATAATGCATAAAATTTCTTGATTCATTGTTAATCTGTGGATACTAGCAATTGTAACGGACACCATCCTTTATTGTCCCCCGCTTTCGCGAAAGCGAGGTGACATTAAATCTCATTCGTCTGTCCATCTGTCAGTCTGTAAGTCTGTCCGTCTGTCACAAAAACTTTAACCTTGATCATATCTTTTGAATGAGAAGAATGACTTTCATATTATACATGTGTATTACTTGTGACAAGACCTTTCTAAATACACTATGATTTTTGGACCCCCTGATTTTGAAGTTTGACCTACTTTTCATATTACACATGTGTATTACCTGTGACAAGTCCTTTCTAAATGCACTATGATTTTTGACCCCCTGACCTTGAAGATTGACCTACTTTTCAAAAACTCTAACTTTGGTCATAACTTTTGAATGAGAAGAGATAGGGCTTTCATGTTTCACATGTATATTACCTGGGACAAGACCTTTCTAAATACACTATGATTTTTGACCCCGTGACCATGACCTTGAGGTTTGACCTACTTTTCAAAAATGTTATATCTTCCTTATACCTTTTGATTGAGAAGAGATAGTGCTTTCATATTTGACATATGCATTACCTGTGACAAGTCCTTTCTAAATGCACTATGATGTTTGACCCCCTGAACTTGACCTTGAAGATTGACCTACTTTTCAAAAACTTTAACTTTG